ACGGTAATGTGTGAAAAGTGTGGTCACCCCTTTCCAGAGAAAGCCAGCAGCAAGCAAACGCAGCTGGGAAGCCCCTCCGAGAGCAGGCAAGAGCTTCAGACTTCCCGCATGGCTCGCCTAGCAGGAAGACATGCTGTTTTGAGGTGTTCGTGGTACAGTGGTGAGACGCGGCAGGGGTTCCCTGGGAGTGGGAGAAGAAGGACATGCATCTTGGCAAAGCTTGCATTTCTTGGAGATGCCAACCTCTGCCTGCTGGCACGAGGCAAGGCCCTTCAGCCCTTGAACGGGAAGCTCCTCTTGCTTTTGCTGTGAGCTAAGCTGCAGCATGGGAAGAGTTTCTAGACTTATCTCATGAGTCAAGAGGTTTGCCATAAAGCAGGAGTGGCCCAGGGCCCCATCTGACTCACGAGCATACAAACAATTAATTCCTTCCACATGAAGGTTTACTGAGCTTTGTGACATGAGGAAGCACTTCCATAATTACTGCAGCAATAATTACCTATGCAAATGACTGAGCTCTGAAGTGCTCCCAGCAGCCACCCAGGCTTCCCAAGGAATCATAGAAACAGAGCGAGTCAGAAGGGGTCTCCCGGGCCATCTAGTCTGACCCCCAGCTCCATCAGGCTCTCAGGAATTCCTGGGTAGGCTGGTAATCCTGGGCACGGGAGGGGCTTGGTGGCAGTTCAAAAATTCTGTCCCACCAGCCTGGTGACTCACGCCAAACAAGCTCAGAGCAAGAACACACGCTAGGTGAAAGTACGTCTGCGTGTCTTTGGTGTCTTCTCTCCAGCGCTGGGTTTTCCTAGGATTAAAGCAACATTATGGAAACAGATTGGAGCAGGCCTCTCGAAAGTTGTTAAGAGGCTTGCTTTGACAATGGAAGTGAAAACAGCATCTGAGGAGTGGGCACGGAGGGCGTCAAGTGAGTGGAATTGGACGGAGGTGAGGTGCTGGAGCCGGTCTCTGAGGCTCAGGTCCTTCCTGCAGTCCCAGAACGGCCTCTAACGCATTTCATGCACACTCCTGTGAGGCCGTGAGATGACGGCTGGCAGAAACAATCCTCCTCCTTCAGCCTCCAAGGGGTGCGGATGTCTTGGCCACCGCTCGGCTCCCCAGGAAGGACTCCCAGCTGGCCTTTTCCACAGTCCACGCAGACTAATTCCAGCTTGCCTGCACCACTCTGGCTCTGTGCCGGCTGGCTTCTGGAGCCACGGCAGCACCAGCACCCAGCCTGCTCCGTGCATCATCGTGTGACACCAGGTGACTCAGAGGGGAGCTTCTGGGAGGAGGGGCTGGCTCCCGAGGCCGTGCAACCTACGTGCCCTCAGCCTGCGCACGGCGGCCGTCTTGCGCAGCAGAGGGGACGGTGGTGCATGAGTGGCGTGCCTTCTGTCAGAGGGTCGGGAGCAGGAGCAGAGGGGGGCTCTCCTGCTTGCAGGCTGACCCGAGGCCTCCCCGTGAAGCACTCCTGTCCCAGCGTATGGCTGTAAGAACGCCTTTCTTGACTGAGCCGAAGAGTTGGGAAGAGCCCTGCCGCGCGAGACCGGGAATCCCTCTGGGCCAGCGCTCTGTTCCACTGCTCATGGGAACTAGCCAAGCAAGATGAGAGTGCCCACAAGCAAGACGGGTGCAAGGGCACTTCCTGCCCATGTGCCCCAGCAATGCATTTTCCCAGTCTGCTCTGAAAGTCACCCGAGCTGGCGGCCATCAAGCCATCTTAGAGAAGTAAACTCCGTATTTTAACTCTGCACTATGTGAAGGGCTTCCTTTTGTTGATCTGTAATCTTCCACCACTCAGCTTTTTGGGCCACCTCTGGGTTCGGGTCTTAAGAAAGAGGGAGCAAAATGTTTCTGCATCTGCTCTTTCCACGCAGTGCATAATTCTGTGCATTTCTACCACAACTCCCCTTGCTTGCCTTATTTCTGAACTGAAGTCTCAGACGCTGTCAACTTTTTCATCAGAGAGCTGCTCCAACCCCTGTTCTGGTCATCCTCTTACGCACCTTTACCAACTCCACAGCGTACCTTTTTGTGGTGTGGTGATCAGAATGTTGCACCGTATCCCAAGTGTGGCTGCACCTTTGGTTTGCATGAAAACATGAAGTTGGGAGTTTTATTTTCAATTCATTTCAAATATGCCCAACAGGAAATTTCCAACTTTCACAGGAGTCCCATGCCAGGCAGACATTTTCATGAAGCTGCCCAGCACAAGGCAGGGAAGCCTCCTAGACGTGGTTCTGGCCAACAGGGAGGATCTGGTAGACGATGTGCACTTTAGGAGTATTCTCCCCAAAGCAGGTTGGGGGAGATCTGCCTGGGGGGCTAGATGAGGTTGGGCTTCTGGGGCACAGTTTGGAATCACCTCACTAGAAGCCGAGGATGTTACAAAGGCACGGGACCCCGATGGGCTACACCCGAGGGTACTTCAGGAATTGACAGGGGTGCTCTCCCATCCGTTGACCTTAATTTTTGAGGCCTCGTGGAAAACCTGTTCCAGAAGATTGGAGGGTGGCATCAATCTTCAAAAAGGGCGGCAGAGGGGATACAGGGAGTTACAAGCCAGTTATCCTGATGTCCACTCTGGGGAAGATGATGGAAAGGCTGATAATAGGAAAAGCTCCGGAAACCCTAGATAGGGATGGGAGGTTGGCAGTCACAAAGCACAGATTCCATAAAAACAGGCCCTTCCAGATGATCCTTGTGGGATTCTATGATAAGGTCTTGCTTGAGGTGGCTTGATGGGGGAAAAGCAGTAGATGTGGTTTACCTGGATCTCAGCATGGCCTTTGACAAGGTGCCGCATGATATCCTGGTTGAGAAACTGTTGAGCTTTGGGACGGACCATCGCACTGTCCGATGGAGTGGGGCATGGTTGGCAGACCGCAAGCAGAGGGTGACTATCAGTAAGGAATCACCAGGATGGCACCCGGGGATGAGCAGAGTCCCCCAGGGCTCAGTTCTGGGACTGGTTCTGCTCAACCTTTCTATCAATGAGCTGAAGGAGGGTTAAGCAGTCTGCTCCCTGAATTCACGGATGACACCAAACTGGGGCAGTGGCCACAACTGAGGCGCAGGTGACGCAGATCCAGAAGGATCTGGGTAGGCTGTGGAAGGGGGCAGGGGACAGCAGGATGGCATTCAATGTGGATAAGGGCAAGGGACACAGGTGTCACAGGTAGATGATGGAGGACAAGTGGCTGGAAAGCAGCATTCGTGAAAGGGATCCTGTGGTACTTGTCAACCGCAGGCTGAACACAAGCCAGCAATGTGATGCGGCAGTTAAGAAGGCAAATGCCACCCTTGGTTGCATAGCCAGAAGCGTGGCTTCCAGATCTAGGGTGCTGTTGACCTGCTCTACACAACTCTGGTGTGCACACAGCTGGAGTGCTGCATATAGTTATGGGCTCCACATTATAGGAGAGAAGCAGCTAGGTTAGAATGGGTCCAGGGCAGGGACACGAGGATGGTAGCCGGGTTGGGAGGGATGACAAATGAGGAGTTTGAGGGAACTGGGTCTTTTCAGCCTGGAGAAGAGGAGACTCTGAGGGGATCTTTCAGTGACTTGTAGGCATGTGAGGGGATGTCATGTGGAGGAGGGCCATGACCTGTTCTTCCCCATGGTGGAGGGCAGGATGCATCCCAATGGGGCAAAGCTCAAGGAACCAGGCTTCAGGTTGGATGTCAGGAAGTTCTTCCTGATGGTTAGGACCCCTTGGAGATGGAACGGGCTTCCACGGGAGGTGATGGAGGCCCCACCAGTGAGGGTGTTCAAGGAATGATTCAGCCACCACATGTTGGGGGTCGCATGAGCAGAGCTGGCTGGAACCAGGGGTCAGACTAGATAGCCCAGGAGGCCCCTTCTGGCTCACTTTTTTCCTATGTTGTTTCTGTCTCTTTCTTGGTCAGACGGCAATAACTTGTAATTGCAGTTGAGATCTTTCACCCAACATGGATCACTTTACACTTGCTTGCTTTGAAGTGTTATCTGCCATTTTGATACCCTACTTGGAGAGATCCCTTGGGGACCCCTCACAATCCGTTTTGGTTTTAACCTAAGTAGTTTGGTGCCATCAGCAAACTTGGTCACCTCTCTGCTCACTCCTAATTCCAGAGCATTGATGAATATGTTGAAAAGCAGTCACCCTAATACAGAACTGCTGGGCCGCCAGTGGCGACACCCTTCCATTGGCAGAAATCGCCAGTTCCTCCCACCCTGTTTTCTCTTCCTCAACTCTTTACTGATCCACAAGAGGACCCAGTCCTTAATTCTCCTTGACTCGAGGTGCTCAGCAGTCTTTGCTGAGGGACTTTGCCAAAGGCCTTTTGGAGGTCCAAGTACGCATGTCTCCTGGGCCAGCGTCTCCTGCCCGATGCAGCTCGTGTGGGCCGAGCCCCGGTGCTGGGCCCTGCGGGCAGGTCCGAGGAGGTCTTTTCCTTCTGTGCCTGTCCTCATTGGAAGACGTTTCAGCAAGAGCTCACGTGTGGGTCAGAAGCGCCGTGCTCCGGAGCCGCTGCAGCCACTGCTTCAGCCTGGAAGCACAGGGGAGCCCTGAGGGGCAGGCACAGGCGGGGCTTGGCGGGGCACCAGGAGCTCTCCCCAGAAGCGGAGGGCGCTCTGTCCTGAGGACGTTCCGTGAGGGGAGGCAGCGCTGGCTGCAGGACACGGGCCGCCTCTCTGGCGAGGGTGTGCTGTGCCTGCGCCTGGTGGCAGGGAACGGCTGGGCTCGGGCAGCGGCCCGCTGACTCAAGTGGCCTCCGTCTTTGGACATGCCTGTCTGAGGCATCTCAGCACACCTCAGTCATCATCCGCCGGGAGTGAAGAGCCTCCGGCTGCCTCCCCTGCCCTGTCATTGTGCAAGGGCGAAACCGCTGCCTCCTGGGAAAGGTTGCCACACTGCTGCTGTGACCGTGAGCCTCGCCCGCCTCTGGGCCGCAGGAGAAGTGGGAAGCGCCTTCCCATGATATAAGACGCCTCCCGCCCGCCTGGCCTTCAAAGCCAGCCGCTCTGGGGACTCGGCCGGCCGTTGTGCGAGCAGCCCGGGTGAGAGAGAGGGAGCAGAGGCGTCATGGCGGGTGAGTCCCAGGGCCAGCTCCGGCGTGCGTGGGCAGAGGAGCCCGCGGCAGCCGTGGCGTGGAGGAGCAGAGGGGCCTTGGGGCGCTCCGCAGGCGGGGCCGTGCACCCTCTCCGTGGCCACAGCCGGGATGAGGGCTCTGCCCCACTCTCCTTATGGGTCCAGCACTTGCCCAGCTTCCCTTCACACCTCCCCCCCGCCTTCTGCTGCCTGTGCAAGGCTGAGGGCAGTGCTGGGATCCAGTGGCCAGTCCGACGTCCTTGGGTCCAAGCTCCCCTTGGCCGTGCCAGCCGGGGCTGATGGGACCAGGGTCTAGCACTATTCGAGGAGGCACAGGTTCTCCTCCCCAGACTAAGAGGTGGGGACAGTCTCTGCACAGGAGCCAAGCAGAGCCGGGCTCATTGTGGATGTGGAGGGAAGCCGGCGAGCCCAAGGCGGGCAGCTGCACCGGTGGGGCAGGAAATCTCAGCATTGTCCCAAAGGCCTGAGGAGCAGAGGGGGTGGGGGGCGGGATCCATTCCCAGGCCTGCAGGAGGGCCCAGTCCCCGGTCCCTCAGGCTGGGGCCTGCCCGGAGCGTGGAGAGGGGGGGACCACTGCTGCCATTCAGCCTGGGCGGCTGGGTGGGGGCTGCGTGGGGAGGGGCTAACTCAGAACTGGGCCTCCCTGGCGCTCCGGCATCGCCTCGCGGCAGAGCAGGCCCACTGCAGCCCACCCGTGGCCCTGGCCCAGGCTCCCCTCCCGAGGAGCCGGAGCGCCCATGGGCCCTCGCTACGCCTGCGGGCTCCTGCATGTGGCAAGCCAGTCGGGAAGGCATCTGTCTGCCTCTGGCCGGGCATCCGAGAGACGGCCCTTCCCTCCGGCTGACTCGGGGCTGGTGACCCGGAGCTGCCCTTCCCTGGGTGGCGTGTGCTGACAGTGCAGTCGGAGGGCTGCCTCCTCCCCGTACAAAGAGCCGCCACGCTGCCGGGCTGTCGGGAGGCCGTGGCTGCAGCGGCACCCGCAGACAAGCCTGCGCTTGCTGGGCTCAGCCGGGCTGGGCGCCTCTGGCTGGCTCTCCTGCTTGCGGCCGGGCACCAGGCGAGGGGTGCTGAGCTCTCCCGGGAGCACGGGCTCCGCAGCAGCGGGACGGTGCGAGGGCAGGAGCGGCTCTCCAGGGCAGGAGTCAGTGGAGCCTGCTCCCTGGCCAGCGCGGGGACGGCCCTCTGTGTCCCCCCACGCGTGGGCTCACGGGCCCATGCCCATCCCTGCTCACGGCTGAAATGTGGCACTGGCTGTGCGCTTTCGCGGGGGCCGTGCCCCTGGCCAGACGTGGGGGCAGCAGCTGGAGGCCTTCTGTCAGGCGTGCTGCGCCGCTGGTGCAACAGCCCCCTCTGCAGAGCCCAGTGCTGCTGCGCTTGGCTTTGGCAGCAGGAAGGGAAGGTGCCCACGGTTCTTGCCATGGGGGGTGGGGGGGCATCCGTGCCCCCCTAGAGGCAAAGGCAGAACCAGGACAGAAATCAAAACAGGCTCCAGCAGGATCAGTGGGGCCGCAGGGGCATGCCAACTTCCCTGGACCACGGGCGTGTACTCCCTTGCTCGTGCAGGGTCGGGGCTGTGGTGGATCCTTTCCTCTGCTGTGGCTGGGGAGGAAAGGAGTCTGGGGGGGGGGGCAGTTCCTCAGCTCCTCAGTTTTCCAGCCATGCAGGATCTCGAACGGCAAGCAAACCGCCCGGCACACCTCTGATGATCCGGCGGTCTTTCCATGCAGCTTGTCGAGTCTGAGGGTGCTTTGGAGGGGAGGTGCCGCAGGGGAAGCCATAATCGCCGGGGCCTTGCTCTCAGCAATTCCCGACTCTAGGGCAGGCAGGGTCGGTGCCCTGGGCCTTTTGGGAGCACACAGCATGTGGGGGGCTGGGGGCAGTGGCAGACTAGAGCCCGTCCTGGGAGCGTGGCGCTCAGCTGCCATCCTGCCCAGGCCTGAGAGGTTCCATTTCTGGCCTCACTTTCCAGCTTCAAACATCGACTGGAATCAGACAGAGAATGCCAGTGCACACCACACCAGCCAGTTCAGTTCCCCACTGTTGGTGGTGCGGCGGGGACAACAGTTCAACATCAAAGTAGAGCTCGGAGTCCCAACTGCAAGCAACCTCACATTTACTGTGGAGACAGGTATGTGCATCGTCTTCCTCCTCTCTCCCCTCTGAAGGGGAAGCGGGGCCCCCTCGCTAGCCCCTTTTCGCCAGGCTCACCTGGAAATGCAGGATGCTGCACGGGACCCGGCTGCAGGTGAGGGGCCAGGCTGCATGCAGGGCTCCCTGGCACAGAAGCCCCTCGGCAGGAGTGGGCTGCCCAGAGACTCCACCTGCAGTGATGCCCTCTCCCCCTCCCCTCCCCACCCACAGGGTCAACCGCTGCTCTGCAAGCCCAGACGCGGGTGGAGTTTGGCATCTCGAGCACCCACAGCAGCGGCTCCTGGAGTGCAGTCCACACGGCCGCCTCGCACCCCACGTCCTTCTCCATTTCAAGCCCGGCAAATGCCGCCATCGGGCGCTACCAGCTGGGCCTCAGGACCGGCAGCTCCGGCAGCTCCAACCTGGGATCCTTTGTCTTGCTCTTTAACCCGTGGATGTCAGGTACAGAAGGGCCACCTGGGCTGTCAGGCCAGCCCTCCGGGGGGACCTCTGCAGGCCCTCCCACAGGCTCCTGCATCACCAGGGGCTCCGTGGGGCCCTGGCAGTGGGCGCCTGGTGCAGGTGGGAGAGCTCTGGCGGGGTCTGCAGTTGGGGCACGAGCTGCTCCTCGCCGAGTGTGCTCCACCGCGGCACAAAACCACTCTGGGAAACACATGGGGAAGGGGCCGGGGCCGGGAGCAGCAACATGGGGTGCCGGGGTGCTGCTGCGATGCCATGGGATGGGTCCTGCCGCAGCCCAGGCCAGCGTCCCCCAAGGCAGGGCTTCCACCCGCCAGCCTGGGGGCAGGCAGGGGATGCCGCTGGAGAGCAGGGCGGCTCTCGGCGGAGCATGTGCTTGGATGCAGTGAGGTCTGGTGGAGTTTGCCCAGGCACCCTTGCAGTAGTGGGGAGGGGGCCTTGGGCAGGGCACAGAAAAGCCCCCCCTTCCCAACAGCCCTCTCTGGAGGCGGCAGGCCCTGAGGGGAATCCAGGGACCGGACTGCCAGCACTCTGCGTGGGGCTGCCCTTGGAGACCGCCTGGCCGTTGCAGCTGGTACAAAACTCGGCTGCCCAGTCAGTGACTGCGGCTCCTGGAGTGGCCCACATAGCTGCTTTCGAAAGAATTGCTCTGGTTACCAGTTGCGGCCCAGGCCCATTTCAAGCTGCTTGTTTCAGCATATACAGCCCTAAATGGCCTGGGGCCTAGTTATGTGAAGGACCGTCTGCAGCCGTATGTACCTACCTGCCCCTTAAGATCAGCCAGGAGGCCCTTCTGCAGGAGCCACCCCTCAAGGAAACGAGGGGGGTGGCGAACAGGCAAAGGGCCTTTTCTGCTGCTGCCCCCATTTCTGGAACTCCCTCCCTGGGGAAAGTTGCCTGGTGCCATCTTTGTTTTCTTTTTGGCACCAGGCAGAGGTACCTTAAATAAAAAACCTTCAATCCCTACACCCTCTGTACTGATGAGCCTTTTAATAATGGTTTTTGTATTTTTTAATTATGTTTTTGCTCTATTACCTGTTTTAATGTTTTTATTATGTTAGAAACATAGAAACAGAGTGAGTCAGAAGGGGCCTCCTGGGCCACCTAGTCTGACCCCTGGCTCCAGCCGGCTCCACTCACGCCATGCCCACCATGTGCATGTCCAGCCCGTCCTTGAACACCCGCACCGATGGGGCCTCAACCACCTCCCGTGGAAGCCCGTTCCACACCCTCGGGGTCCCGACTGTCAGGAAGTGCTTCCTGGCCTCCAAATGGAACCTGGGCTCCCTGAGCTTGGCTCTGTTGGAGCGCGTCCTGCCTTCCTCTGCAGGGGAGAACAGGTCTCTACCCACCTCCGTGTGACACCCCCTCACACACCTGCATGTCGCCAACAGATCCCCTCGGAGTCTCCTCTTGTCCAGGCTGAACTGGCCCAGCTCCCTCCGTCTCGCCTCATATGGTGAGGTGCCTAGGGAGGCCATTTTGGCCGTTACAGGCGACATATAAATACGTGGATGAGCGAGCGAGTGAACAGGAGGCCACATAGGGCTCCATAAGGCCTGCGAGCGCAGGAACCGTGTGCCCCTGCTGAGTCCCCTCCCCAGCACAGGGCAGGAGTTCCCCGACATGGGGCCAGCCATGGGCTTGGTCCCCTTCACGCTTGACAAGGAGGAGGAAGGGTAGCTTTGGCAGAAGGGCAGCTTTGGCCTCTCCTGCTCCCTCCCCGCACCAACACGCCGGCTCAGCTGCCCCTCCATGCCTTCACCAGGGGAGGGCCGCCCTCCATGGCAGCCACGCGGCTCCAGTGGGAGAAAGTGCAAGGGCCGGGCCGGCCTTGTGGCACACCGCGTGCCTCTGGCAGGCCCTGGGGAGCACCAGCGAGGGGCCCCGCTCTCCACAAAGCCGCCTCCAGCGTCTGCCTGTCCTTTGGCCTCCAGGCGATGACGTCTTCCTGCCGAACAATGCCGAGCGTGAGGAATACGTCCTCTCCGAGTTTGGTGTGGTCTTTGTGGGCAGTTCAAACCGGATCTCTCGGTTTGGATGGAACTATGGGCAGGTAAGCATAAAGCGGGTCACTTCGAGCTCTGGATGGAGCAAAGAGGACCAATGGGGGTCCCGGCAAACAAGCCCCCACCCCATTCCAGAATGCTCAGGGCCGCACAAACCACGCGCAGAAACCGGTGTGCGGGGCGAGCGGGCGGGGCGGGGATCCAGGTTCCAGTCCCCATTCAGCTCCCTGGGCGGCTCTTGGCCAGCCAGACGCTCGGCCCAGCCTGCCTCCCACGCGGGTTGTTGCGCGAGTAAAGTCGGAGTGCAGGGGATCATGCAGGTTCCGCAGGGTGGCCCGCAAGAGGAGGAAAGGCGCCCCACCCGTGCAGCGGAGGGCAGGCAGCAGGCTAGTCCACACACCTGGCTCGCTGGCCCTGCGCAGCCCCCCTGTGCCCCGTTCCCCTACCACGCGGCTGCAGCAGTCACTCCTCTGTGCTACGCGGGATGCCAGGAAACGGGGCGGGGGGGGGGGCTTCAAGGTGGTTCCTGATGACTCAGTGGCCGGAAGAGGGACATCCCACCCGCGTCCGGCCGGGGGAGGGGGGCGAGGCTCCTCTGTGGCAGAACAAGGATGCATTCGCCTGTCTTGCTGCTACTTCCCACAGTTTCAAGATGAAATTTTGGACGTCTGCCTTTTCATCCTCGATCGAAGCTTAAGCTACCGCAAGGATCCAGCATCTGACTTGCGCCGTCGAAATGACCCCAAATATGTGGGGCGGGTGCTCAGTGCCATGGTAAGAAGAGGCTTGTCCTCTCACCCAGAGATGGGGCAGCCCCGCCTGGCCGGGCGTAAGCAAGAGGCGCCTTTACAGCCCCTGCGGTGCCGGCCCAGCCCAGGCACCGCCGGGACCAAGCGCCAGCACCAGGGCTACGCTCACACTCCTCCAGGGCGCCGGCCGTGGCGTACGCTCACAGCGCTAGCGAGGAAGCCTGCCCGTCCCCGTTCGCTGCCAAGGGAAGCTCCAGGAGGACCTCAGAAAGCCTCCCAGGCTCGCCGGCCTGGTTCCCCTCTCCCCTCCCGCACCCCGCTGCCATCTCGCGCTCGTGGCCGATGCAGTAGCAGCCCCGGCACGCCGGCCTTCCCCAGAGCATGGCTGGACGTGCTCCCAAGCCCGCCCAGCCTGCCGGTGTCCAGCAGCAGCAGCAGCGGCAGGGCGCAGCTCATGGGGCTGCCCCACCAGCTCCAGCCCCCGGGCAACATGCTGCCCACAAGAGGCCAAAAACGTGGCAACCGGCTGCCCGGGAGTCGCGACTGTGGGCCCCGCCGAGCATCTGCTCAGAGCCGGCCTCCCACGGGCACCGGATGCTGCTGCTGCTGCTGCGCACCGGCCACCCTCGGCACCCCTCAGGGCAGGGCGGGCCACGATTCGGTCTGGCTGCCACGTGCCAAGGGCTGCCCGGGGCATTCTGGCACGCACTTGCTCTTGCTGATCTTCGCACGTTGGGCCGGGACCTAGTCCCCACTTGGCCTTGAGGTTCACTGGGCGGCGTTGCGCCAAGCACTCTCTCCCAGCCCAACCTACCTCGCAGGGTTGTGAGGGTGAAATGGAGCGGAGAAGGACGATAGAGCTTGCCCTGGGCTCCTGGCAAGGAGTAGAAAGGCAGGATGTGAATGTCGTGCGGCACTAATAACGACCCCACTGGTCCATGCTGCCTTCCCTCCGTTTTGTTTTGTTTAACATTTTGTTCTATTACACTTTGCACCCAGTGGTGTGACAGTCGGAGTCCCTCTGCTGGGACATGTCCCCCTTGTGCCCCCCGCCGAGACACGGGAGCAGAATGCGGGACTGGTGGGTCCCTGTGGGTCTGGCTTCGCCACAGGGCCCTTCCGAGGCGCTCGGGCCCCTGCACCGTCAGGGCAGGATGCCGGCAGGGGGCGTCCACGGTGGAGCAGCAGGCTGCGGGTGGGGGGCTGGGTGAGCGCAGAGGGGCCAGAGGCAAAGGGCCGGGAACGAGTGGGGCTCGGCGCCCGGCAGGCCTGGCAGGTCCCGAGGGGCACGCGAGGGCAGTGACCGACCAGGCCCGGCAGGCCCAGAGCTGCAGGCAGGAGCAGAAACGCAGGGGCCGGATCCTGGCCAGGCGCGGTGAGTCCAGGGGCCAGCTGAGCTCGGGTGCTGGCAAGGGCGAGTGGGGCCAGGCGGAAGGTGCAGCCAGGGAGGCCGGGGCTGGGCAGGGGCGGCCGGGCTAAGGGCCCGGCAGGCCAGGCTGGGAGCAGGATCAGGGCCGTGGTGTAGCTGCCACAGGGCCCTGCGGCAAAGGCGAGCCGCACAGGAAGCCTTGAGGCCGTGCGAGCTCACAGGCGCGCTCCCCACAGGTGTGCCCAGGTCCTGCTGCTCCTTCCGGGGGGGGGGGGGGCACGCCATGGTTTCCCAGCCTGGCAGGGACTCTGAGGAGCGTTCGCCCTTCGGGGGTCACAGCAGAGAGGCAAGAATGGCGTGCAGGGCGCGCCGCCGGGGCAGCAGCCGGCCGTGGGGCCCTGAGCCAGCCGCTTTCAGGCCCATCACAGGAGGGTCATGTGGGACAAGGTGCGCGGCCCACAGCTGTGCTTGCTCCCCGTACCGCACACGCAAGAACGCACACACGCCCTTCCCGGCAGCGCCGCTCACCCCTTTGTGCAAACCCCCTGGCAGAGTGCTCACAAAAGGGCGGGCGCTGGGGAGAAAGAAGGTGCACCCCCGTGGCAAGCTGCCCCCCCCCCCCGCTGCCCCTCAGCCAGTCAGGACAGTGAAGGGACTGGGCTGAGCATGAGATGAATGGCCTTAGGAAGAGGGGTGCGTCCGGGGGGTGGGGGGGAGCGCCTGGGTTGGCACCCAGGCGGTGTGGTGCTGAGCGCGTCCCGTGCTTCTCCCAGGTCAACAGCAATGATGACAACGGGGTGCTGCAGGGCAACTGGAGCGGCAACTATAGCGGGGGGACAAACCCCAGCAGCTGGACGGGTAGCGTGGACATCCTGCGGAAGTGGAAGCAGTCGGGATTCAAGCCGGTCCGGTACGGGCAGTGCTGGGTCTTCGCCGGAGTCCTGAACACAGGTGCGTGTCGCCAGGAGCTGCACGCGAGTGGCCGGCAGGAGAAAGCTGCTTGAGCCCCGCGGGCCAGGCTGCATCTTGTTAATGGCCAGGCCAGGCCTGGGCCCCGCAGGTTTCGTCTCGGGGGTGATGGATGTGCAGAGGGAGCACTGGGATCCACGGGGCCCTGCGGCGTCAGTCCATGGGGCTGCTGCTGAAAGCCATCGTTGCCCCACTACCTGCAGTGGGCGGGTGGCTGCATGTGGGGCTCCCCAGCTGGGCCTGCGGATCGCGCTTGCTGCCCTCCCCTCCCAGCTGCAGCAGATCAGGAGCCGGCGGGGAGGGGGCAGGGCAGGGAGCTGGCGCCGGTTAGCCCTGCTGCCCCTCTGCTGGGCGCCCCCTCGTTGGCCCGCTGGGAGCTGCCCTCCAGAGCACTGCTGGGGCAGCAGGCGCTGCATCCGGCCGAGGAGCTGGAAGACCTGCCAGGCGTCCCGGGCTAGGGAATGCCGCGTGGCTGCCGGTCCGCTCCCGGGGCCAGCCTGGCCGGGTGGCCTCCGCTTCCAGTGCCAGTTCAGACGAGGGGACGGCTAAGGGTGCCCGGGAGCGATGCTGCCGCGTGCCGGCGCTGACGTGCCCTTTCCCCCTTCGGCAACCCTGTAGTCCTGCGCTGCCTGGGGATCCCCGCGCGCACGATCTCCAACTTCGACTCGGCGCACGACACAGACGGAAACCTGACTGTGGACGTCTACTACGATGAGTCCGGGAACCCCCTGAACATGTCTGGAGACAGCGTCTGGTGAGTCGTTCCTTGGGGGAAGCGCAGCGCAGCCACTTCTGGGAGCTTCCCTAAGAGGCGGGGGAGACGGAGGCTCTCGGGCGGAGGGGCTCCCGTCCCTGGGCTGGATCATGCCCGGTCCTGCTCCCCACGGCTCTCAGCCACAGCTGCAGCACACGTTCCTCCAGGCTCCCCATCCTGCAACACCCCCCATCCACCAGCAGCCCATTCAGAGTGCCCCCCGCGCTTCTCTCCCTTCCCTCCCTCCCTCCCAAAGCGCTTCCCATGGTCTCTTTTGCACAGGCCCTTTCTCAGCCATTCCTCAAAGCGGCACAGCTGGGATGGGGAGGGATGGGGCAGGGGGACTTCTGCTCCAGAGAAACTGCATTTTCGTAAATGCAGCAGCGGCCGCACTGGCTTCTTCCCGTCACTCTGAGGGGTTCATGCAGAAAAGTTGCGCACGCATGCAGCAAGTGTGCCCGCTATTCAGGAAGATGCACCCTGGAGCAGAATTCTTCCCACAAGAGGCAAAGGATAAAGTAAGATGGTGGCAGTGTTTTCCCCATGGGAAAATGTGCCCTGGCCCTGACCGGGGCAGGCGTCTCTGTGGCTGTGAGTGCAGGACAGACCCCTGCCCACTGCCGGAAGCAGCGGCCTGGGCCCTCTCGGCGGGCACAGCTGCTGCTTCATGTTGCCGGCCTTCCCTGCCCTGCAGAGCCCCCCAGCGGCCTCCACGCTGCCTTGTCAGCCTTGCTCTGCTGGCTGGCCCCGGGCTGGGTGAACCGCGGCTCGCTGAGAGGTGCTGCAGAGACCGCACTCTGGCAAAGAGAAGGACCACCCCGAGGCCTGCCCGAAGGACCTGGCAGGAAAGCATCTCGCACCCGTCCTGCGGACACGGCAGTGCCCTGGCCCCATGTGCCCCAAGGAGACACTGGCAAGGGGGACCACCCCCTGGGGAGCTGCTTCGGGGGGGTGAAGGGCGAGGCTTCCCCGCTGACACTGCTGTCACTCTGCTTGCGGGCAGAGGGTTCCTCTGATCCGGCCCTGGGTGTGTCGGGGAGGCAGACGATGGAGAGAGCGGGGCGCTGCGCATGGGACGGACCCAGCATCTTACTGGGGGCCCAGCCATGCAGCAGGACCCGCTCCAGGCCGGGCTCTTTGATCTGGCGCTCTGGAGTGCTCGTCGTCCATCTGCTGACGAGACGTGCCTCCATTTCTCCTTGTCATCTTCGGCACGTGAGGCTGTGGGTGTGTTCAACAGACGCCTGGCCGTGCAGTGGGCTTGACGGGGACTGATAAAGTGGTGCTCAGCCCACACAAGACTGAGATGCTGTTAGTGGGGGGTCCTTCTGACAGACAGAGGGAATTCAACCTGTCCTAGGTGGGGTTGCGCTCCCTGTGAAGGGAGAGGCTCGTGGCTTGGGTGCTTCTTGCGCCATCTTTGTTACTTGAGGCCCAGGTAGCTTCACCGGCCTCGAGTGCCTGCTACCAGCTCCTACCAGTTGGTGGCCCAGCTATGCCCCCGTCGGAATGGAGGTGGCCTGCACTCAGTCATCTGTGCTCTGGTGCTCTCAAAGCTAGACTCCTACAGCGCACCCTACACGGAGCTGCCCGTGAAGACTGCAGCAGCTCCAGCTTGTGCAAAATGCAGCAGCCAGCCAGTACCAGGACCGACCGGCTGAGCCTGTAACACTCATTCTGGCCCACTTGCCCTGCCTGCCTGCATGTTTCTGAGCCCAATTCAAGGTGCAGATTTTAAGCTAGAAAGCCCTACAGAGCTGGGCACAACAGCCGGGGGAACAGCTCTCCCAGCCCCCACCCGCCCAGGCATTCTGACCAAGCGCTGGCGCCTGCCTTCAACCTGCCACCATCAGGGGGGCTCGGTTGGCAACAAGGAGGCAGGCCTCGTCAGTGGTGGCCCCCCTTCTGGAACGAGCTCCCCATTGAGGCCCACCCGGCATCACACGTACTATCGTTTCATTGCCAGGTTAAGACTGCCCTCCATTGCAGGGCATTGAATTAGCTTGTTGGAGCTTCGTTAGTGGTTTAATCAGGTTTAGGTACCTTTACCTTGTGAATGGAATTTTATGTGTGTTTAAGTGTGGCTTTAAATTTTTTAGCACAACATTTATTTTTCACAGTGTTTTTATAATGTGGCGTACTTCAGATTGTTTTGACAAGGGTTGCTGTAAACCACCCAGAGAGCGCCGGCTGCTGGGCGGCACAGACATTAAATAAGCAGCAGGGCGGAGAATGGTGCCACAGGGGTGCCCGGGAGCCCGTCACCGGGAGGGCAGCCCCACGCTCAGCCGGGCTCCCTGCAAACCTCCACAGCAGGTCTCTCTGTTCTCGGCCGCAGGAACTTCCACGTGTGGAACGAAGGCTGGTTTGTCCGCAGCGACCTGGGCTCCAGGTACAACGGGTGGCAAATTCTGGATGCCACGCCACAGGAGAGGAGCACAGGTGCGAGGCCCTTGTCCCCTTGGGAAGCATCGGGAGGGGCCTTGCCGTTCCCCCAGTTCAAGAGCCACCCAGCCTTTCCCTTCTTCTGGGCCACCCCACTGCCCAAGAGCCCCTGTGGTTAAGGAGAGTCCTGGCGACGGGCAAGGCGAGGCGGAGGAAGCAGGGCCCGCCTCTTGCAGTGCCGCTCCCACCAGCGGCAGCCAGCATGGCCGATGGCCGAAAGCCCTGGTTCAGTGGCCCCTGAAGTGCCAGAGAGCCCTGTCCCCCCACCCTCCTGGGTCAACTATATTAGGCGGAGGGAGCAGAGCAGAGCTGCCATTCCAGTAAGCAAATGGGGGGGGGGTGACCAAAAGATCTTGCCTGGGGGCCTTGCTTTAGATCACAGAATACAGAGCTGGAGGGGAGGAAGAAGGCCATCGAGCCCCCCCCCCCCCGCTGTCGCAGGGCGGGCTTGATGCACCGGGGCTGCAGGTGAGCAGCACAGCGGCCATTTGTGGACGCCACTCGGTTGCTCAGGAAGACGGCAGAGTCCCCCGGGGTCTCTCCAAACGGGACAAGGCCGTACGCGCAGCTCTGTGTGAGCTCAGGACAAACAGATGTGGCCTGTGATGGCACCACCATTAGGTGCATCTGTTTGGAAGTTAACCCTTCACCTGCCTGCTGTGATCCCGAGGAAAATCTACCCTCCTGGTTGCTAGTTGCATCAAGGACATTGAGCACCCCACCCCACCCCCAAAAAAATCTTGTATGTTTGGATGAGTTTTTTGCTGCTGATGACTGAACAGGGAAGGGGTCTGGGGTCCCACTGAGGCAGCTCAGTGGAAACAGCAACCCGGACGGTGTGGCAGTGGCGGAAGTGGGGAGATGCTGGTCGGGATCACCAGGAACGGCTGCCCACTTCCCCAAGCCCTTCCATGCAGCCACATCTGGAACACCGGGAATAGTTCTGAGGCAACTCAAGCACTTTAAACCTGAGCATCGGAAAAGGGGAAGGCAGCCCGAATAAGGGATGCGAGGTGGGAGCTCCGTCTCCCAGCTATCGAAGGCAGGGGCACCCCCTCTCTCCAAGGCAAGCGCACACCAGCCTCCACAGCCCGAGGCTCCGGTGCATCTGGCATATGGAACAAGGTGCTGCACCCGCACCGCGCATGGCCCCGTGCAGATGCTTTTCCGTTCTGGGGCTGGTCAGATCCCGAGGGGAGCCCCCGGGAACACCAGCCACGCAGGCACCTCGGTGAAAGAAAACCCGGAGAGGAGCAGAGGGGTCCTCGGTTCTCTCCGGCCAGCGGACCTCCCTCTCCTGCTGCTGGGCAGTGCCGTTCTGGCACACGGAGAAAGGCGCTCGCCATCAGGGAACGCGACTGCGCCCTCCTTAGCGGGGCAGAAACCTGTTCCCAAGGGCCGCTGGCCACGGGACCAAGCCGAGGCGCCCGTGTTCAGGGGCAGCACCCACTGCGGAGGGCAGGCGGTCCAGCAGGCCGCTCCCGTCCGGCAGGGGCACTCCAAGCCCTCTGTTTAGCTGTCTGAGGGCCGCCCGTTACTGTGAATCCCAAGTGCTGAGTGCTTCACTGCACGCCCCCCCCGCCAGTCCCGATTCCGGCCCAGGACGTGCCACGTGTGCTTGCCCCCGTCGGGCCCTTCTGCGCACGGTGCGGATCGCAGGCCGCTGTTCTGTGGCTGTCGCTGCGGCGCCTGTGCACTGAGCCCCTCCCCGCCTTTCTCCTCCAGGCATATTCCAGTGTGGCCCGGCCTCACAAACGGCCATCAAAGAGGGGGACGTGGACCTGGAGCACGACAGCCCGTTCGTCTTTGCGGAGGTTAATGCTGACCGGATCACCTGGCTGTACGACAGCACAACGGGGGAAAAGAAGAAAGTCCACTCCGAAACCAAGTCGATCGGCCAGTTCATCAGCACGAAGGCCGTGGGCAGCTATGCCCGCCAGGATGTCACTAACAACTATAAATATGAAGAAGGTAAGGCACGTGCGCTGCGCGAGGTGGAACGCTGAGACGCACCTTCTGCGTGGCGCCTGCAGCGCAGCCCGGCTGAGGCTCTGGGGAGCGGTGGGTGTCCAGGCCAAGCATCAGGAACCGCAGTGGGCAAACCCAGCGGCACTGGAGGGGCTTCCGGGGAGCCTGCTGTGCATCCCAGGAGCTGGAGGGGGCAGAGAATGGCGCCTGCTGGCAAAGCCAGGGGGCGCATCGGCAGCAACCCAGGCCCCGCCCTGAGCCTGCTTCGAGCAAGTAGCGGGCATGCCTGCCAGCCCCGCCGGAGCGTGCACTGCCCAGAGGGCCAGGGGCTCAGACCCCGGAAGCCTGGCTTCTGCTGAGGCCGGGGAAGCCAGCGGGTGGGGGGTCCCACAAGGCCTGATGGCTGCTCGGGGGCCTGGCGCTTTCGGGTCCAGTGGCTTTGCTGAATTTGCCACCCGCTGTCTCTTTCAGGCTCTGCCAAGGAAAGGGCCGTGTTTCAAAAGGCTCGTGAGAAGCTGAATTTGAACACACTGGACAGCATATCTGCTGCTGTGCCAGAAGCGGAGAACCCCAAGGTCTCCGGGAAGTTCAAGGTGCAGAGCCCGCCCGAGGTCGGCCAGGACGTCAACCTGCTCTTGAGCCTGACCAACCTCGCCTCTGCCACCAAGTCCCTGATGGCAAACCTGACCATGTGGTCCATCATCTACACCGGGAAGCCCGTCCATGAGGTCTGGAAGAGCGCCCTCCCAGTGACTCTCGGCCCCGAGGAAGGTAACCCCGTTGCGCGCGCGCGCTGGCCGTGGGGCGGGGGCGACGCTCCTCAGGGCCAGGCAGGGTCAGCCTGCAGAAGGCAGTGGAGGGGAGCAGCCATTTTGCCCCAGGAGTTTGCTGGGGAAGAGGGCATTCCCGAGCTTTCACACGAAAGGTCTGGGCCACGGAGGGCTGCCTGAATCCAAACCGCCTGTTCCTGCAAGGAATTAATCTGGCTGCTGCGAGGAGCAGCTGCTTCCCGTCACAGGCTGGCAGGAGACTGGGACCCAGCACAAGCCTGCGGGGAGGAAAAACGGCCCTCTTTGCCCAGAGAAAGGCCTCGGCCGGGGAAGTGGGGAGAGGGCGTATGGCCCAGCGAGGCACGGTCACTTCTATCTCAAAGCCCCTTTTTTGGCTGGGACTCTGGCAAAGACCCCAGGCCTCTTTCCTCCGGTCAGCCAGCCCCGCCTCCTCCAAGGAAGCCTCGGAGCTGCAGGTGGCAAACCTTCCTCTCCCCGCCATGCTTCCCGTGATGTGGGGTTATGCTCCGCAGAGCAGACCCCCGCTCCTCTGCTGCCCCCTCCTACACTGCCTGGCCCCAGCGCTCAGCACACCCACGAACCACGTAAAGCAGCTGCACCTGCGGGGGGGGGGCAGGCAGCCCCACTCGGGGCTTGCCCAGACTCGGGCCCGGGAGGGGGCACCCCCCGTCCCGAGCCACAGGTACTGCTCGCTGCTTTGTGCACTGCTGCAAACCGCAGGGCGGCCATGGGCCCAGAATGCCACCAGTGGCCCGCCCCCCCCGCCACTCCTCCTTGCCCCACCCCAGGCAAGATATGGGAGCACCTATTTGTGGCCATGGGGGGGGGGGCGCAGAGGGAACTGAGAGTTTGGCTCCTGCAGCCACTTTCTTCCCACCCCATCCAAACCAGCAGAAGGCAGTGCCAAGAGGGCCCGATCCTGCCTGGCACTCCCTGATCCTCCGCCCCCAGCAGGCATGACTGGCCTCTGCCTGGGAAAGAGCAGCCCGTCAGGCGCCGTGCCACGTCCGCGCGCGACCCAGCTCCTGGCACCGCTGCATCTCTGCCCTCTCCTTCCAGAAAAAGCCTTTCCCATCACGATTCCATATGCGGCGTACCAGCAATACCTGACCACGGACAACATGATCCGGGCGACCGCCCTGTGCCAGGTGCAGGAGGGCGGCAGTGCGGTGGTGGAACGGGACATCACCCTGGACAACCCCAGCATCACCCTGAAGGTGAGTGTCCCGCACCTTCCGTGGACGAGGGGCTGCGTGAGTGGCGGGCGAGCCGTGCCCGGTCCCTGGCCAGGCCCCCTTCAGCCCAGAAAGGCCTGGGCGGGGGCGCCCCTTGCTCTCCCCCCTCAGGCGCAGCGAGGGGGCCGCAGCGCCTCTGCTAACCGGGCTTGCTTGGGCAGGTGCTGGGCCCAGTGAAGGTGGGCCAGGAGGCAAAGGTGGAGGTGGCCTTCACCAACCCCCTGGACAAGGAGGTGAAGGACTGCGTGGTGCTGGCGGAAGGCAGCGACTTGCTGGCAGACAAGCTCAAAATCACGTAAGTCGCGTGTGCCCCGGGCCAGCAGGCCGGCCAGCCGCAGGCACAAGAGTGGGGAAGGGAGCCGGCCCGCGCCCGAGGGAAGCCCGGGCCACAGGCACGGATGGACTCCCTGGCCAGTCAGGCACAGGCTGAGGCCAGCAGGCAGAGCCCCGTGGGGCGCGCAGAGGCCTCCCCCACGGGTCCCGTTCTGCCCCATGGCCGGTCTGGGCTCCCCCTCGCAACGCACCACCCCAGGCCGCTCGACGGCAGTGGTCCGCGTGCCACCTTGGATCACGCCCTCGCTGAGGTGCCTTCCCCGCCACGCCAGAAGCCGCTCCGGCCGGGGCGTGTGGGCTGCGCAAGGCGAGAGCCCGCCGGGCTGCCGCCTCCCCGCCCCACACGCCTGAGCCCAGCTGCTGCCCTTTGGAAGCCCCAAGACACATTTATGCCAAAAGCGCTCGGGGTGGGGGAGAGCGGGGAGCACAGCGCATGCTTCGAAGGCTGCAGGACTGCTCCAGGGATGGGCCACACGGTTTTCCGCTGCAAGGCACTGCACGGATCCACTACTGCGCTCCTGGGCGCTCGCCCCGTGAGCGTTGCCGGGTCTCCTTTGGTGTGGGGCAGAGCCTGGGCCCCCAGAGCGGAGGCGTCTTGGCACTCCCCAGGGCTGAGCAGCGAGGTGGCCGCCACTGTTGCTCACGCCGGGGCACGAGGGCCACTGGATGGCCGGGAACGCGGCAGTCCTCGTGTGTGGGGCGGAGTTGCCAGCCTTGCAGCCCCCGTGGCCCTTCTCGGGAGCAGGGAGGGCTGGGCTGGGCCGGGCCGGGCCGGGCCAGGCAGCACGCCCTGTCCCCCACCTGGCTGACCAGCCCTGTTGTCACCCCTGCGCAGGGCGCCCCCACTGCAGGGCAAGCAGACCTCCCAGGTCACCTTCGAGATCACCCCCAGCAAGAGCGGAACCAAGCAGCTCCTTGTCAACTTCTCCTGTGACAAATTCAAAGACATCAAAGCCTTCGAGACCGTCAAGGTGGACAACTGATCCCGGGGGCCAGACTGCGGCCGCCCGGCCAGGCGGGGGAAGCAGGCGGGCCCAAGCGGTCAGCCACGGCCGAGGCCCAGCGTGCCACGCGCCCGCCCTGGTGCCACCACGTGTACACGCAGAACCGGTCCAATACAGGTCCTCTTCTTGTATCCCAAAGCATGGGCTCCTGTTTCTGTCAGATCCCCGCCCCAAGCCGGAGGCCGTGCTGTGCTCTGGCCGTTCGTTCGCAGGCACAAGGAACGGCCCCTCCCGGGTCCGTGCCTTGCGCTGGCCCACCTGTCCTGCAGGAGTTCAAAGAGCCGGTGGGTGGCCCGTTCCGCGTCCTGAGGTGCCGATGTGGGGGGAGTGCCCCGGCCCTTGGCCAAGGCCAGGCGTGCCGCGACTTGACCTCTCGATTCTGCCCAACTCCTCTGCAAGGAGTGGGTCTGTGCCTGCCAGGGGGCCTGGGCTGGCGCGAGGGAGGGAGGGACATCCAGGCCCCAGAAGGAGCCCGCCCAAAGCGGGGCCAGCGCTGCAACGAAAGGAGCCGAAAGGAGCCGGCCGAGCAGGGAGGCCGCCACGGGGAGACCGGAGGGAGGGCACCCCCTCGCCTGGCTGCTTTATCCACATTAGCCACATCTCTCTGGGCAGTTCCAAAAAGAGAGCTCAAACTGATAAATACAATAAGGTAGTAAAATACCTGTAGACACTTTAAAAGAGAATACAAACAGCGCAGAAAGAAGGTGAAAGCCGGCAGCCGTGCAGAATGCAACAGTGCCCTGATGCAGCTGCTGGAGATCGCAGCTGGGGGGCCAGGGGAGCCGCACGGGCGGAAGCGTGGGGGCCCCCCAGAGCAGCGTGACCCGCAGAGCCCGGGAACGGCAGGGCCGGAGGGCCATGGGGCCAGCCTGCCTCAGCGCAGGCCTCCCGGCTGGCCCGGCCCAGCCCGCCCGCTGAAGGCCTCGGGTGCCGCACCTGGGGCCTCGGCAGCTGCGCAAGGGCCCCGTCGGGCTGCGCGCTGCCGGCACTGGAGGTGGGCCCGGGCCCGGGCCCGCCCCCTCCGCCCAGCCGGCTCGCCCCGCGGGCCCTTCCCGAGAGGCCGGCGGGAGCGCGCCCGACGCCCGTGCCCGCAGCCGCGCCGCCGTCAGGGGCGCTCCGCGAGGGGGCGCCGCGGAGTCCGGCGCGCCCGGC